TGAGAGGCCTGGCTTGATGGCAAAGTCCAGAACATCCTGGAATGAAACCCTGCGTGGGGAAAAGGGGCTGGCCCAGCCTCAGAAGTGCAGGACACTTTGCAGTACTTACAGAGATGCACTAACACTCAAAACCCCAGTGTAAATGGTTAGGAGCTCAGCAGTGGGTAGCCAGAGTCAATCAGACACTTTGCTCATTCCTAGTATTTCATCTACTAATTATAACTTTATAGGTATGTGAAAGGCAAATGGGGAAAGAGGAAGGAAGAATTGGGTATCTGCACAGCTACACACTAAAAAGATCTGACTTGTAGTTATTCTCTTGGGTGCTGTGAGGTTGACATGTAATATCCATTCAAGTAACCCTCTATAAACAGTTGGTTTTCCATAATCACAGCCACTATTCCCACTTCAGTGGCCAGCAGTATTCAGAGGGAGGCCAGCCCTAGCGCCTATATAATAAACACCAGAAACCAAGTGCTAGGAAAGCTGCTGTCCATGCCACAGACATAAAGTCCTGTAATGAATGGAAGGAACGGGATTCCAGCAGGAACGCTCCAAAGGTAAAAAGAGCTGCTCAGACACAGGTTCTCCCCCCACTCCCCGTAGGCACTCTTCTCCACCCTTCCTGAGTAACTCAGGGGAAAGAACAGGGCCTGGTGCAAACACTCCATGTGCACACGTGTGGTGGTGGCAGTACATAGCTCAGAGGGAAGGCACTTCTCCAGCATATCAAGGTCCTGGGTTTGACCCCTCAAAAGCATACATACACATGCACACACAGACACTTGTTTCCAACAGAGGGTAAAACAGTGGGAAGAGAAACCATTTTTATACACTTTTTAGATACCACCTCTTTTAAATTTTCATGCATGTTCTAAGAGCTTGGAGTTATCACCCCCGTAACAGGAATCAAAAAGCAGGATCCAATAACCGGCCTGAAGACTACAGCCCAAGTGGCAGGTAACAGTGCAGCCTGGTGCAGCAACAGCTAATAGTACTCCAGCCTTTTCTTTCCTTCTTTTTTATTTAAGGTTGATTTTATCTTATTTTTTGGTTTTTTTGAGAGTGAGTTTCTCTGTGTAGCCTTGGCTGTCCTGAACCCACTCTGTAGATCAGGCAAGCTTCAGAGATCTGCCTGCCTCTGCCTCCCAGAGTGCTGGAATTAAAGTCATGCACTACCTCGCCTGGCTAAGTTTTTTTTTTTTTTTTTTAATTATTATTACTATTACTATTATTTTTATTAGCATTCATTTAATTCTAGCATTTGGGAAGCAGAAGCACACAGATCCTGCTAGTTTGAGGGCAGCCTGGTCTACAGAGTTTAAGCTCCAGGATAGCCAGGGTTACACAGAGAAAACTGTCTCAAAAAAGCCAAACCAAAACAAAACAAGTCTCCCCCCCACAAAAAAAAAAAAAACAAAAAAACCCAAACCAACCAACCAAAAAACCTCCTTCTGTATATACATACATATATGTATATACATCTGTGTGTGTGTGTTTAACATTTATGAGACTGAGAAGTGGCCTAGAGAATAAGAGCACTTGGTACTTTTGCAAAGAACAGGGTTTGGTTCCCAGTACCTGCATGGTGGTTCATAATTATCTGTAATTCTAGTTTTAGGGGATCAAACGCCCACTTCTGACCTCTGCAGGTACCAGGGATCCATGTGGTACACAGACATACATACATGTAAAAACACTTGTACACATAAAATAAAATAATCTTAAAAAATATTTCTTTTGAGGCTGGAGAGACAGCTCAGCAGTTTAAGAGCACTCACTGCTCTTCTAGATGATCCAGGTTCAATTCCCAGCACCCACACTGTAGCTTACAACTGTCCGCAACTGCCTGTAATTCCAGTTCCAGAGGATCCACCAATGCCCTCTTCTGCCTGCCTAAGGGCAAAACATCCATATACATGAAATAAATTTTAAAAATTCTAGTGGAGCTGGGCATGGTGGCATACACCTGTAATCCCAGCAATCAGGGAAGCAAAGGCAGGTGGATTCCTGTGAGTTCAGGGTCAGCCTGGATTACCAAGTGAGTCCAGGACAGCCAAGGCTACCCAGAGAAACCCTGTCTAGGGGTGGGGGTTAGCATATTTATTTTATTTGTACATCTGTATACCACATACATGTTCACACAGGCCTAAACAGAGTGCTGGATCTTCTGAGCTAAAGTAATAGGGGGGTTAGATGCCTGATATCAATGTTGGGAAGTGACCAAGTGACCTCTGTTCCTCTGGAAGAGCAGTAAGTGCTCTTAAACTTTGAGCCATCTCTCCAGATTCTCCCAGGCCTTGAGAATCCACTTTGTTTTTAAAGGCTGAGAACAGCTGTCTTATGAAAATAAACACCGTCTCAGAAATGGTACCTCCCCAGTAACTTGTCAAGATGTGATTTGAACTTCCTACAACAGCAAGCTAAGGTGGCAAATAAACATCAAGAGAGATCAGGTGCTACATTTACTGGCAAAGCCAGCAACAGAACACAGGTCTGCTGATCCCTGCTCCAGTGCACAGTCAGTCAGGCTTCTTTTGGATGTTAATGCCCTTCTGATGTTTCAAGTCATCTAAGAACTGCAAAGAAACAAGAAGAAAATGTGGCAAAGTGTCTAGATTATAGAATTTTCTATACAAAGGTTCCTAACTATAACATTTTTATCAAGGAAGCTTTGAACACTGGTACCTGCAGATTCATCTGCAGCAGAAAGGAACGGTGACCTTTGCCCACCCCCCCACCCCACCAGTGGGCTGTAATGATTAGCCTGGCTAGGTCAGTAGCTCAGGAAAATACAAGACAAGTGCCTCTCCCAGCTGATTAGAACACATACAGACTTACCCAACCCCTCCCTGGCAATCAGAAGGGAGTGGGTTAGGGTACCTAGGGAATGTACAGAGTCCTCCAGGGCTGGCGACCACTCTGTCTGCTGTACTCTAGTGACAATGCCCACATGGAAACAGAGAGAAAGTTTTAGAGAAGCAGGCACAGCAGCCATGAAGAGGAGGGAAAAGATCTCTGGATTGATGAGTAGAAAACCACTACACAGGGCTGGCCCACTAAGGCAGCCTGAGTCAGAGTCTGATGAGGGCAACCCAGAAAAGAACAGATGAGATTAGGAGGAACTGACTTTCTAATTAAGAAAACAGGTAGTAACACTGTATAAGGTTAAAGGTTGGCCAGGTCTATTTCTACTATTCTGCTGAACAAAACTGTATGGTGTTTCCAACGTTGCCCAGCAAGTACATGACCCTGCAGTGATCTCCAGCACCTCAACTCCTACCCCCTTTTAAGGCTTTGGTTTAAACTTCAATTGTGCCTTTTTATTTTTTTTTTTAAAGCATCAAGATAAAATGTCAAGATTTTTTTTTTTTTGGTCAGATCTTTATGCTCTACAACTTTTAGCAGATAAAAGGGACAGATAAAAGTTCAAGGCTAGAAAGCTGAGATAATTGCTACAGACCCAATCCCAGCACCCATCAAAAAAAGACTTGAGCTGACAGTTTAAGAATGGGCTACCAGCCAGGAGTGGTGGTTCACGCCTTTAATCCCAGTACTCTGGAAGCAGAGGCAGGTGGGTCTCTGTGACCTGGAGCCTAGCTTGTTCTACAGATCAAGTTCTATAATATCCAAATCAACCCTGTCTTTAAAAAAAAAAAAAAAAAAAAAAAGTGAGCTATCACCTTTAGGACACATCTGCTCACTGACTTTTGCTTTCAGCCCTAAGAAGATTGCTACATTTGAGCAAGCCACTTTAATTTTTTAAAGTAGGTAGCAAACTTGGAAAATAGAAGATTCCCCAGAAACTTAAGAATTTCTACATCACTGCTACTCTGCTCTCCATTAACAAAATCTTTTCAGAATCTGTTCTGGTGAGATCTGTTCTGGAGTGAGAAACACAGATTGTCTTCACAATATATTTTCATATCCATAGTTTGGTGGCCCATCTCAGCAATTTGGATACACAATGATGATTCAGTTTTAACCTAGTGACCACTGACTAGGGAAATCAGTTTATTGGGATGTACTTGGAATCTCAGAACCTTTCTCCCCACTAAGTGTCCAGAAAAACTGTTCATTTTTAAGATGAGAAAGAATATTAAAAACCAAGAGGAAATCGGTAAGCACCAACAGAAAACAAAATTCCAGACTAAGAAAAACCTACCATCCACTTTTCTAATGGATATTTTTCATTCACCCCTCTCTTCCTAAAAGCCCAAAGTGTGGCCAGATTAAGCATCAACCACAACCCTCCCCCTCCCAGGTCGGAGGTACTTCCGGTCACTGGGCCCCGCCTGGCACGAAGCCACCACCAGCAGGGTGAGGTGGGTGGTCCTCCCCCACCTTCCAGGAGGCAGGCAATTACAGGTAAAAGAGCCTGTACCCTTTACAGAATCACCTTCCAGGGAAGTCCACAGAAAGTTCATCAGAAATAATCGTCAGCATTTGACCCTCGGCTTTTGAAAAAGCAAAGGAATTTTTTAAAGCTCCCATTAAGCAACTAATAAAAACCCTTTTTCACTCCAAAGTGTAAGCATTTAAAGCTGGGACAGTAAAGATTTAAAAGAATTTTTCTAAAATACAACATTAAATGGGGGAGGGCACCCAGCAGAATCCCATAAACTTCAATTCTAACCTTTGGCTTGGTCGATGACTTTTGACAATTAACAAATCCAAACTAGCGATAAAATTCCATCTCCTAGCCCAGCTACTAGACTTAAAATTGGATGTTAACTCTGCAGCGGTCCCTTCCCCCAGCTAACTGTTCTTCCCGTTACAAGGCGTTCTTCAGAAGGATAAGCACAATATGTCACTCCGCAATCTGAAAATCACCAGCTGAAGAGAAGTCAAGGAAGCAGCGCGCAAGGAATTGGAGGCCAGCGGAGTCAGGCACCGCGCGGGGTTAAAGGAACCATTTCCTAAGCTCAGATGCGAAGAAGCAGCCGGAGCAGAGCACCAAAGCAAGAAAACCAAGTTACATAAAGTCCGATTGTACTCACAGTTTCCTTATTGGGAAGCAACTCCTTTCTGATTCTGAAGAAGTTCTTGCCGTATTGCCGGAGCCCCTTAACGAAGCGTTTCTGTGATAAAAAAGAAATAAGTGAGATGTAAAAACCAAAACCAAAACAGGATGTCAGCAAAGCAAAGATATCTGCAATCAGCAGAAAAGCAACCACAAAAGTCGGTGCTTGGGAATATTAGCCAGGCTGGAGGGTTTCCGCGGCACAGCCGGGACCGGCTGGTAGGGCAGGGCAGCCCCCGGCCTGCGGGGACCACAAGCAGCGCGGCGCTTGTTTCGGAAAAGGCAACCGGAGCTACGGCGGCCTCCTGACACCACAGGCTGAACGAAGGTGCGAACAACAAACAGCCCGCGTTGCAATAAACCAGCAGAGCTGCTTTCCGCCCGCGGAAGCAGCTGCCTTCACACAAGTGTCTCGGGCCGATCCGGCCCTTTCCCCAGCCCTGTCCACGGAAGCCGACAAGCAGCCCGCAGCCCGGAGCCAGGAACCTCTGGGGTCGAGCCCCCGGCCCGCTCGGCCCGCAGACTTTCACTTCGGCCGGCTCCACGAGCAGCTCCCACCTCCGATCCGAGCGCGACCCGCAGCCACAGGTAAGAAGGCCGCGCCCGTCCCCGGGCTCCACAAAGCGCAGGGCCAGGCGGCCGCGGGCTGCTCGGCGTGTGACCGCGGCGGGGCCGCGCTGGGCGCGGGGCGCGGGGCGCGGGGAGCGGAGGGCGCCGGGGGAGGAGGCTGGAGCGCGGCGAGCCCGGCGGCGGGCGGCTGCAAAAGGCGGCCTGGATCGCCGCCGCGGCCCGCACGGCTCCGCCCCGCCAGCAGCAGAGCCCCCACCGCGGCCTTCTCGGGGTCCTCCCTGCGGGCGGGGCACCGCAGGAGCGAAACTTGCTCCCCACTCGGGCCAGGCCGCACGCCCACCGTGAGGCAGCGCAGCCCAGCCGGTTCCCACCCCTGCGGCCGCTCCAGCCCTGTGCAGAGGCATTCGCTCCCGCCCGGCCTGGGTATCAGCCTATACTTCACAAGAGATCGCCACGGAAGCGTCCCAGCCAATAAATCAGCTGCCCACCGGGAAGAGGGCCTCTCACTCGGGGTGTTAGAGACTGTGGGACAAACGCAGGAAGGGCCAGACCTGGCTTGCAAAGACCCATCTGCAACCTCCTACTCTAGTCCTGCAGGCTCTGCGAGTTCTGATTTCTTCCTTTGCTAGGATATGACTCATCACTGTCAATTTTCAGTATAATTGATACAGTTCAGTGGGGAAAATTGGAGAGGCACAAGAAAGCAGCACACACTCCCTGGTAGGAGCATACTTGTGGTACTTGACTCCTGCATCAGTCATGCGATCAACAGGCATCCTGAGCTGCACACAGCATCTCCACTGAAACTAGAGCAAGAAAGAGCTCTGTCCTCAAAGGAGTTCCAGTCAGCCCAGAGAAGCAAATAGGTACGGATGGATCTTGGCCCATAAGGAAAGCAGCAGAGAAACAAAGGGTGGTGGGGTGGAGCTAGGAGGAGGAACCTTACTCTGCTTGACTTAGGGGAAATGACAAGGAACAGCACATAAGCCTTCCAGGTGGGCTCCAGCTGGACTTCAAGTTGACCAGGAAGGACGCAGCAACATTCTGAAAGCTGCAAAGAGGACAAGGTATGCAAAAAAGTGACTGCTTGCGGAGTGAGAGACTGAGAGGCCGGTGAGGTTCAGGCTGCAAGCACAGAGCTTTGAGAAGTGGAGACCAGGGGATGAAGGCAGAGCGAAATTTCCCTGGCAGAGACTCGAGTTCAAGCAGGGCTTGGGAACTGAGCAGCACAGAGGCTGGTCACACACACTGCACTGGTAGGAGATGGGGCCCTGAATTCACTTCAGTAACTGACTGAACACCTAGCACTTTGAAAAACCTTGCCAGGATGTGAATGAAATGGTGACTGGCTTTTAGCAGGTAAGATAAGGGCATGCCGAGTCATCACAGAACACTCCAAGGTACTACCTGACCAAACATAAAGAAGCAAGGGGTTTCCCATGTATGCACCAAGGGAGCTCAGAAGATAGATGGACCACTCTGGCCTTTGGCAGTTCAGAACATCTTCACACCAAGGTATAGGACAGGTTACAGGGGGTGAGGAGACACTAGAGGACTGAGGGGGCTTTGAGAAGGGGAGCTGGGTTGTGGGAACTAGTCGGGGGGTGGGGGTGGGGGTGGAATGCCAGACTGTGGAATCAAATGTAGAATTAGTGCCCAGCAACAAACAACATGTTCATCAGAAGCAAGGACAGAAGGCTGACTCTGGAACATTTATTTGGGTAGTGTGACAGAGGAGGACAGATGAGTTCAGAGTGTGTGCTTTTGGAGATCATGAGAAACAGCATTCAAAACAGTAGTAATGATTAAGTATTTACCTCATCAACCCCAATCTAAGGAAGGTTGACATTACTCCCATTTTACAGACAAGGAAGCTAAGGTACAGATAGTTAAGAAACAGATCAGTCACTCAGCCTCATGAATCCTTGTGTTTCCTGACGTTCTGTTGAAGTTGAGTTTGTTGACAGCGGTCCTGAGTCTGTGTACTTTCCAGTCCACTTAACGCCAGTGTGCTGGGTCTTCAGTCCTGAGCAGAACTGTTCAGCCCTTCCCACCTAGTGCAGGGCCAGGCTCCTCCTCCAGCTACCCCTCTAGGAACAGCTTACCATATAGTTGTGACAAGCCTCTCTCTGCCAAGGAACTTTTACTGCAGATTTTAAGCACATTCTGCATTCCTAGCACTAGAAAGGTGGAAGGAGGAGGATCCAAAGTTTAAGGTTATCCTCAGCTACATAGCAAATTTGAGAACAGCACGGGCTACAAGAGACCCTGTCTCAAAAAATAAAACAAGCTGGGCGTGGTGGCACATATCTATAAATCCCAGGCAGATCTCTGTGAGTCTAGGCCAGCCTGGTCTACAAAGTGAGTCCAGGACAGTCAAGGCTATACAGAGAAACCCTGTCTTGAAAAACCAAAAACCCAAACAATAACAACAACAACAATACAGCTTTACCCCATCAGCGTCTGCTGTCTTTCCCCAGCCCTGCGAAGAACACGTTAGCCAGCAGGTGTTTATACCTGAACCTGGTGACAAGGTCTGTCCTACCTCTCTATCCAGACGTCTGATGATGTCCAACAGTCTACTTCCAAGGTTCATTCAAATACAGACTCAAATCACTCCTCCACAATTCCATTCCTGTGACCAGCCCACTCCCACTCACTCATTTACCCAGTCTATAAACTCTATTAAAGGCAGCAATCCTATCACATGCCAATCTCCCTCTCTATGGCACTGGGCAGTTGGTATTCTCCAAAGTTTTGAAACAAGTGAAGTCAACTATGCTGGAGTTGGTTTGTCATAGAAGCAGACTAAGAAATGGGGAAGAAATCATAGCCAGGTAAAATGGGGCTTGCCTAAAAGCAGCACTGGGAGATGAAGGCGAGAGTATAAGGAATTCAAGATCATTCTTCTGGACATAGTGAGTCTGAGGCAACCCTGGCCAACCAGACCCTTCATTAAAAAACAGAGTAAAGGAAAACAAACAATCAAAAACCCAAACAAACCCACACCAAACAAGAACCACCACAGAAATGTCCGGTTTGAACTCTGAAAGCAGAACTAATCTTTGTTTCATGTCAGCCAATTTTCCTCATATCACCTGGCCCAATTCTTTTCTTAGCCTCTAAGTAAGTTTTGGGGGCTTGTTTTGGTCTTTCAGCTTACCCAAACTCCCAGGACAACCTCCTATTGCCTTGGCTGTAAGTTTCTTGAAAGATACTCACTAGCATCTTCAAGGCCACATCTATGATCCCATCCCACTGAGTACACTCACCTGACTGTCTTATAGGCATCTCTAACTACACTTGCAGAAATATGAGTCTGACATCTGACAGTGAATGTGGATCTATTACTGCTGTCCATGCATGACAAACAAGTGCAAAGAACTCTTGGTCCCACTCTAAAAAAAGAGGAAGTAAAAGCTTCGTGTGGCCTGTACTGTTACTTCTCTATGGAAAGCCACAGGCCTCAAAACCAGCCAAACATCTGCTTCTCAGGACAGCTTCACCTTGTGGTTTCCCAGAAATGCAGAGTGGCCTCTGAAATCTAAACGAAGCCAACCCCTCAGAGCACATGGTAGCTGGAGTCAGCGCGTGAGACTGGCTGCTGAGACAGTCAACTCCACTCCCTCTGTGTACCCGTCTCTCCACACGAAGACCTGGCTGCTTTCAATAGTAATTTAATAATTGCCATCCTGATTTGTTTACAGAGAGGAATGCTAAGCCACTAAGTTCGTCGCCATGGTCTGTTTCTGAAGTCTTCCAGTGACTGAACGTGAATTCAGCACTTGCAAGGTCTTGTGTATTACTTCTCTGTTCCTGACAGTATTATATTGGAATGCCAGCCGCCAAGGGTGACACGGACATTTAAACTGTGGTAGCTGTATTCACATACTACGGTGCTAAGCAGCTCTGCTCCGTGCTCCAGGCCTTTCTATCACCACATTTGCATGTGGGTGCTGAAGCTCTTGAGAAGTTGACACGTTTCTTTGGTACTTTTTACCTCCAAGCAACCTGAGTGTGCACCTTGGGAGCAAAACCAACTATTTATGCATCCTCACAGCCAGGTGAAACCCAAACAGAAACCTAGACTTACCTATGGCAAAGGTAAGTACAGGTCATGGGCAGTGATGCAGGCTTGTCACCCAAGTCCCCAGCAGGGAAAACTTAACTCACCAGTTAAGAATACTTGTTGCTCTTATAGGAGACCTGGGTTTGATTGCCAGCACCCACACAGTGGCTCACAACCAGCTGTAACTCCAGTTCTAGGGGAATTGACACTCTCTTCTGGCCTCCAAGAGCACCGGACACAAACATGGTGGACTTACATATATATAGGCAAAACACTCATCACATGAAATAAACAAATGATTAAAAAATTTTTTTAAAGTGTGAGTGCTGGGCAGGAGAGACGGCTCAGCAGTTAAGAGCATTGTCCTATCTTCCAGAGGTCCTGAGTTCATTTCCCAGCAACCACATGCTGGCACACAACCATCTATACTGGGATCTGATGCCCTCTTCTGGTAGTCAGGTGTACATGTGGATAGAACACTCATAGAAAACCAACAAATAAATAAAAGCAAGCATGTGTGCATGCCTGCCAGTATCAAATGCCATTAAAATTGGGGTCAGCCGGTTTCCTTCTCCACGACCCCCTCCCTAACCCTGCCTATCTCTCAGAGAATACATGAGGCTATGAAATTAAAACTCATTGAATGTGAAAAGCCTGGCCGTTAGTAAAAGGTTAACAAAAACCTCAACACAGTGAAGCTGCTGTCAGCACTCACCTATGCTGCACTGTGCAACTGGTGGTGAGCACAGCGTGCCCGCAGGTGCGTGCAGTCGTGCTGCACCTTGCTATGTGGCTGCATCAAGCACCTTGTGTGGACTGGAGAGGAAGCTGTGTTGTTGCTGTACTTACCCAGTTTTCTGCTCTTAGAGAAACAGTGCTTTAATTATTGAAAACGAAGACTTTTAACTATTTCCTCATCATTGAACTATCAAATTAGTCTATGTTGTATTATGAATGCTTTGTTTTGAAAAAAGAAAAATGAATAGATAGATAGATAGATAGATGCTGTTTTGATGTTAAGAGCTTTTGTTGCTCTTCCAGGGGACCCAAGTTTGGTTCCTAACACCCATACCCAACAGCTCACAAATACCTGTAACTGCAGCTGTAAGGGATCTGACATGCTCTTCTGGCCTCCAAAGGTACCCTTATACATTACGCTAACACACACACACACACACACCCCACACACACAAATAAATAATCTTTATTTAAACTTGACATTTTGCCTGGACAGCCAGGGCTACATAGAGAAACCCTGTCTCAAAAAACAAAACAAAACCAAACAAAAAACAACAAAAAATACATTTTGAGGATTGGCAAGGTTGTTTAGCATATAAGGGGACTTGCAGCTAAACCTGACCAGCTGAGTTCCATCCCTAGTACGCTCACAGTGAAAGGGAAAAGTCATGTAAGCCGTCCTCTGGTCTCTAATGAGCCCTATGGCATGCATACTCCAAACATCCTGACACACACACACACACACACACACACACACACACACACACACACTATATATATATAAGCATTTTTAACAGAGACTTGGGATTAGGGCAGACAGAATTTTCAGCCATTTCTGAAACGGCCCCAATCATACTTCTGCCATTTTGTGCTAAGTATATATGTGAGTCTGTGTTCTCAACAATGATATTATAAAACCTAAATATTGAATAACTCTGAAAAACCCTAAAGATGCTTAACATCCTGCATTATTAAACACTCAACCAAGATTTCTTTTATGTCAAACAAGCATACCCACATCACTAGTATGCAAATATGCTTTCATTGCTAATAAATAGTAAAATTAGATACAAATTAGATACCAAATCACCTTCAAACACATTTCTCTAAGGTTTATTATCAGCATATGTTTAATTTATACATCTATTTTATATATCCCTCTACCCGATGCTACCTAAAAACTTTTCCAGTGGAAAGGGATTAAAAGGAGAGAGCATTCAAGAGGTCCTCCTATAGTCGCCTCTTCTGTTTCAGAGAATTCTGACATGGCTGTTTAGTCAGTCTCAGTCATTCCTGAAACAGGAGATTACTTACAGAAATAAAAATAAGGCTGAAATGCAGGAACATTAATCTTCCCCTACAGGTTAATGTGCTCTGAGGTTCCTTGTGCTGTTGCCTAGGCAAACCTGCCTGAGCTCTGAGTACATAACTGGCCTACATGCCAACTGTTGTACACTCCTGGCCACCCTGAGAAACAGCTAGCTGGGCCTATACAGGAATCTTCACTATTACTCAATTCTACTGATCAGCCAACATATTGGCACTTTTATGCATGTCTTGGCATGGAGAAGATGGTGAGGGGTGCCTAACATAGCAATAAAATGGCTGCACGCTATCTTCCAAAGCCATTGCCTCAGGCTCTACTGGCAGGACCTTCCTTGATCATCACAGCCAACCTAGGAGGCAAAGCTTTTCATACCTCCATTTTAGAGATGAGGAAATTATATGTATTCCATGGTACCAAATCCTTGATTCATGGTGGGAAGGTCAAAGGTGACATACATAAACAGGAGAAGCCTAGAGACCAGGATGGGGTACAGACATTAAAAGCAAGGTACAGATAGATCAGAGATGGGTGCTGCCCCTTTCAAGTATTTTTAAAAAATCTATATATGGGAAAGGAAAAGTATCTTCACACTGTTTATTCTTGTCTTAGCCACTTACAACCTATTTGTCTTTTAAATAAAATTCCTGGCCCCTGCAACAACCCAACCCAACCCATGACCAAATCTCTGAACATCAAATTAGACAGAGTTACAAGGTAATGGGAGGCAGGTGAGTTCTGCAGAGGTCAGGTGTGCCTCCACCCCAGCTCACACCCACACCCGGTGTATCCCCTCAGAAGTCAGCTCTGTGCTCACTCTAACATGGGTCTGCAGCAGGGAAGAGAGCGTAAGAGGCCTCGGCAGCATTAGCCACTGCTGAGAGCTTTCAAAATTAACTCCCTCTGGTGAATTTTAACTAGTGTATCACAGTCAGAAACTCGCCGTGACTTCTCTACTTGGTCTTCTTACATAACAGTTTAGAAACCACTGTAAGTATTAAAATGAGTCCCACTGTGAAAATGGCTTTCTGCTCTACCTTGTTTGCCGCACAGAGCTTTATGTTAATAATGCACTGGTTCTCAGGGGACTGAAGAACAGGCAGATCTGCAAGTAAGCAATCTCCAGTTGCCCTTCCACCCTGCCCCCAGAGACAAACACAAAAGTGTGAACCCTTCAGCCAGGCAGCAAGAAAACACTACCCACTGTTTTCTGAAAGGTAGAAAGCCAGGAGAAGAAAAAAAAAAAATCTTAAATGCAGCTAATGAGGAGTCTTGGGTAGAACAGAGTACTGACCCTTTCTAAACAGTGTGCTGCATCATGCCAGGTACCCACTCTGCAGCTGCTCTGTGTGACAGTCTACTCCGGGCATATAGTCCTCTGATAATCAATTAACATCACCCCATGTCTAAAACACACTCTCCTCTGACAGTCCCTGCTATACTGCTCTGAGATGTATCATTTGCTTTGAGGGTTAAGCACTTATTACATTAATGAAAGGTCACTTGGTGAACTACCATTTTGGTAAAACATAGTACCACAATGTGCCTAGGGGGAGACCAGTTTTTGTCTCCAATTTAAATATACTCCACAATGGCTAGTGTTATTCCAATCCAGTTCAAAGTTAATTACCTTAAAGTGTCAGCATAGCAAACTGGTAAGAATCTTTTGGGCAGGACATGGAGGTTGACAACTTTAATCCCAGCACTTGGGAGGCATAAGCAGGCAGATTTCTGAGTCTGAGGGCAGCTGGTCTACATAGTTCCAGGGCAGTCACAGGAAAACAGTATCAAAACCCCAAAATAAACACTACTCTTTTACTGGTTATTGTCAAATCCCTAACTTATTTTTTCTTTTACATTCACACTCTATTGCAAGATGGTAACGTTCGAGAAACACTGAGGAACTGTAAAGGACCATGCAGTGGTCCCACAGAATTGTTGAAATACAAAAAATATTTTCTATAAATTCCACATAAAAGAAAAACATGTAAATGACTATTTTTTTAGAAAGATTAAACCCACACTCAAATGTTTCTAACTATCTAACAAGACATTTTGGGTTTTATGGGTTACTTTATTTTCTGTGTAACTTTGTTTTGCCTGAATGTGACAGAAGAGCTCAGAAGAGGCTGTCAGATCCCCTGAACCTGGAGTTACAGGCAGTTCTGAGCCACCATGTGGGTGCTGGAAATAGAACCCAGTCCTCTGCAGGAGCCATTTCCTTAGGCCCTCTCTCCACATGTTCCCCTGAGTCAGACTCGAATGCACACTTTATTCAGAGAAATACTGTCCACAATCTCATGTCTTGACATGAGGCTATATGGGCTAAGGACATGACTGAGGGGTCCTGAGGTGTCCTGGACCACATGCTCAAAGCAGCCAAGCCCTGAGCCCAGAGAAATTGACTAGAATGTCTCTGTGCCTCTCAAGTCCCCTGAGTCCATATGGTTCCTTCAGGTCTTAACGTAAAGTGTGATGGTAGTGGTAGGAATACAAGTAGCCATAATATACTGGCCCAGATGGGTGTCCCTGGGCCCACTGTATAGGTAAAGAACCATACGTGGTGTGTGCCTCCTAAGTGCTCATCCTCAAAACTGTGCTCCCTCCTGACGAGGCCTGGGTCCCTGCAGGACTCTCATGAACATGCTCCCAGGGCTGCAGCTGCCACAGGCTTAATTAAGTTTTTCTGTGCTTACTTCCTACATGGATCTCAAGAGCCTCTGTACAGTGCTCACACCCTTTTATCTCAATAGCTGTACCTCAGCTGTTGGATTCTTATATAGGACACTCCCCTGAGGCTGCAATTAGGTAGGAACTAAAACATTTCATCAACACATAATCCCGCATAGTCTTAAAGACCCATGGCCGCTCTCAGGACTCCAGACTGCCCTGTTCTACCTACTGATCCTGCCATCACTACTCCCCAGTCAGAACCTGGCACAGGATTAATTCTATACTGCATGGAGATCCCACCTGCAGCTTATCCATTAACCCCTAGGCTTTCCCAGCTTCTTTTCCTCTTAGCAAGCTGGTGTGAGGCTCTTAGATCCCCAAGTCTCTACTTCTGTTTTCTGCAGATGAGTTATAGAAGAAATGCCTTAAATAAATAAAATTTATACATACACACACGGAGAGAGGGAAAGAGGGGGAGACAGGAGGAGAGAGAGAGACAGGGTTTCTCTGTGTAACCCTGGCCCTGGCTGTCCTGGAAGTCGTTCTGTAAGATTAGCTGGGCTCAAACTCAGGGATCAGCCCATCTCTGCCTAGAGCGATGGGACTAAAGGTGTGCACTACCACACCCAGCTCTAAATAAATAAATATAATGATAGTGATGTGGTTGGTGGTGTGAATGAAAAATGTCCCTCACAGTCTGAGTATCTGAGCACTTGTTCCTGGTTGGTGGTGCTGATTGGGAAGGCTACAGAACATTTAGAGGACAGAGTCTTGCCTCACTTCCAGTTTTCTCTTTGCTTCCTGGTTGCAGGTGAAGACGTGACTTCTCAGCTCCTTGCTCTAGCTACCAGCTGCCATGCTTCCTGACATTCTGTGATCTCTCTCTTCCCCACATTGCTTTTGGTCATGGTATTTTATCACAGCAATAGAAGGGTAATCAATACCAATAATAGTAATAAAAGTTTAGTCACTGTGAGTCAGTCAGTGGTGGCACATGTCTTTAATCCCAGAACAGGTCCCCGGGTCAGTCTGGTGTACACAGGGAGTTCAAGGACACCCAGGGCTACATAGAGAAACCATGTCTTGAACCCCCCCCCAAAAAACAAAACAAAACAAAACAAACAAACAAACAAAAAAAACCAAAAACCACAAAACAAAAGTTCGGAACCCTGGAAGCATCAGGCTGGAGAGCAGGCCAGACAAATTCACCTCATCAGCTCCAGCTGTCATTTCCCAGCTTGGGAATGAAGGGGCTTTGAAAAGAACCCCCCACTTCTCACATCAATCACTCCTGAATTCTCCCAGTACAGAGACTGAGGGAAATAGGTTTCCAATGCTGATTTCAGGATGGCTCTGTCTGTTTGTTAGGAGTGGCTTGCTTTTTTGATGTAGAGTACTAAAACATAACCTCGGCTAGATCTGGCCACATACACCTGTAATCCCAGCACTTGGGAGGCAGAGGTTCAAAGCCAACCTCAGCTTCAGAATGAGTCTGAGCCCATCCAGATGGTACAGGAGACCCTATCTCAGGATGAAAACAAAGAAAACAAACCCTTTAATCTCAATGTCAGTCAAGTATTGATTTAAACAAAGAAGTGAACTACTTTTCCTGGCAGAACAAGCACTCTCTACTTTAACGACAGCTCGTCTGGATGCTGCACGTGATACAGACTTGACCTATGAGAGAGACACTGATGAACTGTAGAGGGAAGGGGCTGCTTAAGGTGTTATGGACCCTGCGTCTGACGACGTGGAGCAAGCAGTCCTTAATCACTAGCTTACTGATTACATGAGTAACCTGGCGGTGGCCGGCAGTCCTTCCAGATTGACTGGCTTCACTGTCTTCTGACAGGCCTCTGCTGCCAAGTTTTGGTTTTGTAGGTCCAATCAAACCTACAAGATCGCTAGAGGATTAAAGCCATAAGCTCCCACTAGATACCCACTTAAGATAAAGAATAAACAATAGTATATATAAGTATATAATATATATAGTCTGTCTACTTATTTCAAAATATCTCTGTGTATTAACCCACCCTTCCCCAGGCTGACTCTGCTGGCGAATAAAAACTACTGTATTTTCCAAGCAAGGACCACATATCCAGTGAGAAAATGATCTCATGTAAGATGGTTTCAGTAGCAGCTGTACCCTCCTAGCCACCTTTTTCTGACCACACTGAAGCCCTTCTGTTCAGAAAGTCCTGCCACTGGGAAGCCTCAGAAGGCTTGCTTCAGTGCACTGGCCCTGCACAGCGAGAGGCGAGGGAACCAGCAGAACAACAGGTGCAGGGATTTAGCTGGCTAAATACATCTTGCCAATTACTGGCTACACAGCTACGTTCACATTAAAAATAACCTGGCACTAATAAAAGCACACAAGCAGGCATTCTCTCCCTGTGATATCATCCTGGAGTCTCCAGATAAATGTCCCTGAAAGTGGTTCATAATCAGGCTGTTAACTGTTCAGCTTTCATTAACAAAGCAACATCAGCACAGAGCAAAGGGGAATAAAATAAAAAAAGAACTGTGGCTTGTCTGTTAAAATGTAAAGTAAAAAGGCATTTTTCAGTGAGGAAGCCCTTTGTAAACAAAACAAACCATAGGCTTGTAGATGAAGCCCTGAATCCGTGCAGCAGCAGCAGCAGCAGCAGCACAGGCTAGGGTGGTAAAGGCGGAAGGATCAAAAGTTGATGGGTATCCTAAGCTACATAGCAAATTTAAGAACAGCCTGGGCTACAGGAGGCTACATCTCAAAAATATGTCTCTGTAAATACTTACATTATATTTGTGTACACATTAATGTATTTATATTGCATATATTCTACTTATATATTCTGTTTACCTATGTTTTAAGTATATATATGTATCCACCCAAGCACCAAAAGGCCACCTTTACAGAGGTAAATAACTATAACCAGCACAACTATGGGCAACAGTGACCCATATTCATACAGACATGTGATCTCAAATTAAATAAAGCACATCTGTGAGCACAATGACTCTCAACTTCCTGAGTCAGGGAAAAGCACCACAGGTTTATTTCAGTTCCTGGTAAGGGAAGAGAGGTGTGGACTTTTATTTTTCTTTCAGATGATATGAGACTGGGCTCGACACTGAACTTAGTTCAGCTAAGATGTTACCTCCCAAAGGGAAGAAAATCAGCCAGGCATGGTGGTTCATATCATTAGTTGCAGAACTTGAGCAGTAGAGGCAGGCTGATCTCTATGAGGGCAAAACCAGTCTGTCAGTACATTCCAGGCCAGCCAGGACTACATGGTGAGACCCTGACTCAAAAAAGAAAAACAGAAGAAAAATCCCACAAAATGAAAAAGATTAAGAGCCCAAAGGGAAGGAAAATCGATGTCTTTTTAGGAAATGCAGCCCAGTGGCGCTAAGAAGCACATTCATCAAAGCCAGACCCCAGTCATGAGCAAGATTCCTGTCAGCCAGTGGTCGCTGTCTTCTATCCATCACAGGCACCCTGCTCCTCTCTCATTCTCCCCCCATAAATGATGGTTATCACAGACAGGCAAGTCCCTAAAGGGAGGATCCTAGAGAGGAAGCTGGTGTGTGCCAATCAAAAGGCTGTTCTGCTGGCTTTTGTTTAGAACAACAGTGCTCCCATGACACCTCACTTTTGCTAAAAATATTGATATTGAGGAAGCATGAACACAGCTGTGTGTAAATTACATACACAAACAGAATAGCTCTATCTACTTATAAGGAAACCAAGTGCATTTGCATACACAGTTGGACTCAGTGGGCTGCAAGCTGAGATTCTTCTGCCCCCACCTCCCATCTGATGCAGAATGCTCCAGAGATAAGAGTTCTCCCCTCTGCTGTAATGCTGGAGGAGTTGTTTGGGATTACTGCAACAAGAGCTGTGGAGTTTCACTTTTGCAGGAAAAATATATCTTGCTAGAATAATTTTTGGTTAGCAGGTTGTGATTAAATCATAAGTGGTGGGACACCCATTACTCCTAGCATCTTGGAGTGGAGACAGGACAACAGTGAGTTCAAGGCTAGCCTGGGCGACACTGTGAGAGACCATCTCAAAAATTAAAAAAGGGAAGTTATATGGGAGGTGGCAGTAAAAAGCAGCATAGGCAGAAGCAGAAAGTGGGAAGGATGGGGTGTTCAGCATTAGCAAACAGAAGCTCTGTCTTTACAACAGGCACAGACACACACATTGTACATACAATGAAGAGACCCACCACGATACCTGTTAATAAAGCCAGGATCTTTGTCTCTTGAAACGTGTTTTAAGAGAGTATTTTATGGGAAGCAGTTTTAGCTTCATAGGAAAAATCAAGTAGAAAGTACAGGTATCTCCCACATATCCAATTAAGACTTTCTAAAAGTCTGTTTTGAAAAATAAGAAAAGTGAGCCAGATGGTGGTGGCACATGTCTGTAATCCCAACACTCAGGAGGCAGAGGCAGGCAGATCTCTTGAGTTCGAGGCCAACCTGGTCTAAAGAGTGAGGATAGCCTGGGCTACACAAAGAAACCCTGTGTCAAAACAACAACCAAAAAAAGGAAGGAAGGGAGGGAGGGAGGGAGGGAGGGAGGGAGGGAGGGAGGGGAAAAAAACAATCAACATTTTATGCTTGTGTTAAATCAAGAATACACAGTTTTTTTTCTAAAGGCTGGGTCCTGGTTCCAGGCTTGATTCTACCAAGGTCCCACAGTTGACCTCTGGCAAGCCACTAACATTTCCCTGGCCTGGCCTTAGTTTTTCATCAAGTATGCTGTATTGAGTATCTCAATTACCACAGAAGGTGCTAGCTTAAAATTTCTGAGTGTTTCTGGCCAGTCCAGGCATGGTGGCACAGCCATTAATCCCAGCTCTCAGGAGGCAGGACCATGCAGATCTTTGTGAGTTCTAGGCTAGCTTGGTCTACAATGCAAGATCCAGGCTAGCTAGGGCTACATGGTGAGACTCTTGTCTCAAAAGAAAAGTTCCAATAACATAATCAAAGAAAAAACAATATGTAGACACAACATAATAAGGCCCTAATTTTATTTCTTTGTGTGTGTGTGTGTGTGTGTGTGTGTGTGTGTGTGTATGTATGTGAGAGAGAGAGAGAGAATCCAATTATATTTTTTTCTCAATGTAGTTCTTATAAACTGGTTAAGAGAGAGACAGACAGAGAGACAGAGACAGGGAGGGGGGATCCATTTCTAAGGCTTGGTTTACGATGCTAACAGTTCCACCAATAAATCATCTCCCAATCTGGGCTCGGAAAAGCACTGGCCACGGTTTGATTGCTCCAGCCCCAGGTTGCCGGGCAACCAGCACAAGGGGGAAGTCTGAGAAGAGCTGACAGATAGCCAAGTGGCTGAAACAACAGACTTCTCTCTGTCAAAAATGTGTTTCAGAGCACCACTTGCCCACTTCTGCTCTCTGCTAAACGCGACACGACTGTAAAATCAAAATCAAAAGGCCACTGTCATAAAAACACACTTCCTGCCCAATTACCCATTGTTAAAATGCTGCGGGGAGGCCCGGAGGCACAGCGTATGGCAAAAGAAACGCGATACTGTAAATGAGATAAAGTCAGCAGCGTTCTGAGAAACCCGATCTAAATGCAGCTTTGTCATTTCAAGTCCAGGGACCTGGTGCTCGGAGGATATCAGCTGCCTAAGAAAGCACCAGAAAGAAAACAATGACTGTCAGCATGTTAAAAAAAACAAACCAAACATAAGTTGCAGATGAATTTCACAATTGCTTCATAGAAACCAAGAAACTCCTCAACTGTTAACTGTCCTGAAGACAAGGATGGTTTCCTCTCTTCAGTGGACTTCCTCAGGGTAGAGCAATGACCTCCTGGAAGCCACACATGGTGGTGGTTCCAAGCGGATTTCTAAATGCTTGGCTATCACTGGATTATCAGAGCTACTCTTACTATAATGTTGATATAACCAGTTTGAGATGCCAGAGTCTATGGAAACATCTGGAGCACCTAGGGCCCATGTTGCTGTGCCAACAGTTATAACAAGCATCACCTCAGGACAGTGTCCTACCATGAAGCCACGGCATTGAGCGTGACTCCTTGGATATGCTGGAAACTATCCAGGGTGCCTGGAAGAGGGGCTGTTTTATGCCATAGACACTTCGGCATCCTGGCCAGTTTAACTCTTCTAAAAACAGTTTGTGGCTGACTAAGTACATGGGACTTCAAAGGGAGCCAGTGACAGTGAAAATCCATCACTAAACATTGTTAAAATGTATTATTTTATGTGTGTCAGTGTTTGCATGTGTGTATGTGCACTGCATGTGTGCTGTCCCTGAGAAGACCAGAAGAGGGTGTCATAACTCTAGAATTGGAGTTACAGGCTATGGTCAGCAGCAGTGTGGGCACTGGGAACTGAAGCCAGGGCCTCTTGAGAGTAGCCAGTTCATACTCCTCTCTCCAGCCCCCACTGAAACATGTTAAAAGGTGTGCTGGAGTGATGTGTGTGCTACAGTAACATACACAACAGTTCCAGCAGAGGGTCTGCTCTGGGGGAAGGGGGGTTACTGTGCATTTTTTCCACAGTGTGAGTTCACAGCATGGTCTTCAGAGAATAAGGGCAGGAAGTATTTCATCTTTCATCAGCTGATGCTTGGAGCTCCTAGGACAGCCCTCTCTATACTACCAGCCTACATCCTACCAGGGCCCCAAGACCCTGATGACCAGATCTGGTGATTCAAATAGGGAATTCAATTCCATACCCTCAAGTTTCCTAGGATTCATTTGTCCAAAGATATCTGTCTCTACCTTTCTTTCTGTCATCCAAATCTGTCTATCAGTCCATCTATCCATCCATTTAGCTATCTGTCTGCCCGTCCATCTGTCTACCTACCTACCTACTTACTCATCCATCCATCCACACCTCCCCCCCCATCCTTTTGAGACACGGTTTCTCTATGAAGCCTTGGCTGTCCTAGAACTCAC